AATTTAGGAAATAAAACGGCGGATTTCCGCGGATCCGCGGAAAATTGCCATGTATGACAATATTGTGCTCTTTGTTTTTGAGTCAAGCGTGTCGATCTCACAGGCCAGAGGTGCAAGGTTCGATTCTGGCTCTGGCCTTCCTGTGTGGAGCTTGCATGTTCTCCCCGGGCCTGCGTGGGTTTTCTCCGGGTACTCCGGTTTCCTCCCACATTCCAAAAACATGCAAGGCAGGTTAATGGAATACTCTAAATTGTCCCAAGGTGTGAGTGTGAGTGGTTGTTCGTCTCTGCGTGCCCTGCGATTGACTGGCAACCGGTTCAGGGTGTCCCTGCCTACTTGCAGATCGGAAAATGGATGGATGGATGTTTTTGAGTCAAGAGTGGACTTTCCCCCGCTTGTGTCCCAGCACTGACTTTCCATATGTGGGTGCAAAGTAGCAAATGCTTGTATCATGTTCATACTCGATGAGTGTGAGGCTACGATAGTCTTATATGATTCATGAAGAGCAGAACATGTACTTTAAATTCCACATTTATCACAACTCGGTGTCACATTCCATCTCCTGGAGATGGAATTCTTTTTGTGCATATTCATGATATCATGCCTGCAATGTGTCATGTGAGTCTCGTATTGCTTCAGCAAAATCCAAGTGATTCATTTTTTTTACACATTAAGTGACGAAGTCCACTTTTATTTTCTCCAGTGACCAGGCTCTACATTTTTTTCTTCATTAAGTCGGCCTCGCTTTCATTTTCTCCAGTGACCAGGCCCATATTTTACTCAAGCAGGAAGGCCTCATTTGGTTTTTGGTCCATTTTTAGAAACTTGCCAATATAAAGTTGTGTTTTTTTTTAATTAAATAATATGTAATATTCACAGGATTTTTTTGTAAAGACAAAAAATGTAGAAAAAGGTAAGATATTTTCAACAATGTAGGAGAAAAAAGAGAAAAAAACACATCGGAAAAAGACACATTTTGGAAAATTTTTGGAAGTCAGGTTTTTCTAGGGGGTGGGGGGTCTTAATCTTATAAGTGAGTGATATTTTCCATAAACAAAAAGTGATTTTTGGGGGGAGAATTTAAAAATAAAAATCTGTATTTTTGTAAAGAAAAATAGTCTAATACCTTCCCATTGAACAACAACTAAATACCAAATTTCAATGTCCAAGCTATAGGGCAGGGGTGTCAAACTCTTTTTTTTTTTTTGGCCGTGCGCCACATAAATGAAAAATTACTTTTGAAATTATAGGCCAGTAAAATCAGTTTTTTTCAAATATTTATATTTATATTTGTTTTAAAAGGGGAATTGGTAACCAAAAAAAAGGGCTTACAATATCACATGTGAAGACAATTTGCAATTTTGGTATTTCAGCAAGAAAAATGAACTTCACAGGCCTTATAAAATAATGTGGGGAGGAGGGGGTCAGATATGACGCCCCCACCCCCACCCCACCCCCGGCCTTGAATCTGACACCTGTGCTGTTGCGGGAGACAAAAGGAAATGGCGGTAGCTGAGGGAAAAGAAGAAAACAGGATGCGGGCATAGTGAGTGAAAGAATCGAGGGCATGAATACCTTGAAGCATTTAGCCTTGGAGTCAGAAGCAGCAGCTCTCTCCGGGACATCAATCCTGTTCCTCCCGCAGCGTACGGGTCAATTAGACCTTTATTACAGGCAAATGCGCATCTTGAATGTACATGCACTAAGACGAATGATGCAAAAAAATCCCTTCTTTCCAGCGCTGCTTATACAGAGGATCATAAACCAAGGCGGGGTCACTAATCAGATCGTGAGCTGCTCCCAAATCCGCCGATATTCCCGAAAGGCATGACTGTGGATTCAAGTTGACATTTTCAAGCATCAGCACTTTTTTTTGAGAAGGGTGAAGGTGTTGTTTTTTTGGCAGCCGTCACTGCAGGATTGATGCCAGAGTGCCACAGCTAAAGGTTCTTATGCGCTTTCTTATTTTTTATTTTTTTTATCCCCTCCCTACCCAAGTAATATTTCATCGTCAAGCGTTGCAGCGTTTCTACAGTTTATAGAAATCGTGGGAAAAGTGTTGGGATTCAGCTCAGCGAGGAAAAGAGACGACGGTAAAAGGTCAAGGCCGTTAATCGTTAATAGATCGCTCATCCGGTCCATGGAATTTTTTTTTTTTTTTTTTTTTTTTTTTTATTGTCGAGCTTTTCTGTCGTCAGTAGATTTTTAATTAGACCTGAAGAAATAATAGTTGCCCATAAAAACACTTATGTTTACTGGAAGCCACAACTCCGTGAAGATAAATGTCTACGATGACATTTAAAAAGTCAATTGGTCCACTAATCACTCCTAATTCATTCAACACCAAAAACTCTCACGTCCTTAGAATTTCTGAAGTAGCTGAGGTTATTTCTTGCTGTTCCGTTCCAAGCAAGGCTGGATCCACACTGTAGGTCCAAGACGCCAATTTTGACTTAGTGCTTTAAATCCTTTTTTTTTTTTTTTTTTTTTTAGCTATGTCCATGTAGTTTTCAAGAGACACATATCTAATACATTGACAGCACACATGAAACAACAACCCTCATGTGCAGACACTCCAATTGCAATGAAATAACTCAGGGCCAAATTCACGAAAGGAGCAAACAGGTAGCATCTAATCCATGGTGAAATGTGTCACGAGCCGAGATCCCAAGCAGAATTAACCTCATTGATAAACAACATCTAATTCACCGACGCCAGCGCTAATAGTCACACGCAGTTTGAATGACGCAAAAAAATTGCTTGAAAAAGCTCTTGTCAAATTGGCGCTACTGAGGGAAGGCTCAGAAATGTACAAGAAATGTCATCCTAAATTACCTACGTTTGATTTTCTTACCTTGAGTTCAATTTTGTATTTTATTTTATAGAATGTGAGAAATGTCAGGAAGCCGATCATCATTTGACCCGAAGGAGGGGACAAAACTGTCATCAGTGAGTCGTGGTAAATCGCAGGCGGAAGCACATTGCGCTTTTCAAGACCCTTCATGGACACCATGATAGCAAATAAAGTCAGAAAAAAAGAGTGGCATCATACCCATTATTTAAGTAAGCTCTTCTGTTAGGCCCATGTGTCAAATGTCTAAGCCTTGGCGGAGGTCTGTGACGCCAGAGCGCGTGTGTGTTGCATGCGTACGTCGCCAACGTTATTTGCAGCCGAGCTGTCGACCCTCAGCTCCTCGAGCCGCCTCCTTGTCCTTGTTTACTGCCTCGCCAGGCACATATGTTTACCAAAGCACCAGCCTTCCTGTGGTGACTCACCCCCAACGTGGAGAGACGGAACACAAGTTTACACCCCCACCACCATTTCCCACCACTTCTCCCTTCCATCCCTACTGCGCAAGGTTAATCTGGTCCACAGCCGCACCTTGCATGTCACCCTAATGAAGCCCCCGCAGACTAACACTTAATAAGAGTTAAGAGTAAATTAACCTTGAAGACTTTGTTTGAATCTCGGGGCTTTTTCCCGACATTTTCATATCCATGTCTCACATCCAAGGACTCGTGTTTTTTTTTTGTTTTTTTTTTTTTAAGTCAGGGGTAAGAGATGTTCCCTTGACACCTGCAAATTTCTCCCCGACATCTATGTATGTACTGGATGTCAGCTGCACCTCTCATTATTGCTATTAAGTGCAGGAGCAGCAGCAGCCAACTCCAAAGTAAGCATGGTAGGTAAAGGTTAGAGTAGGTTAATTGCTCTGTAGGTCAAAAGTTGGTTGGTAAAGGTAGACACTGGAAGTCGGTCAAATGTGGTTAGGTACGCTAGTTTACCTGCCCAACTAGCTACCTACCTCGGAACCTACCACCCTTTATGTTTTATTTTTTTGTTACTATTTGAGAAAATAAAGTTGATCAGTACACAGGCCAGAGGTGGTTAGAAAGTAGGTATCTAAGGTATTGGAGCTAGATAGGTCGGTAGGTAGCAAGCTAGCTAGCTTGCTCGTTAGGTAGGTAAAACGATGATAGATAAAGGGAAGGACCACTATTTTATTTTTTTTTTTAGGTACAATAGGTTGGTGAGAAAATGAAGTAGATCAGTCGCATATGGCAGAAGGAAGGTCAGAAGGTAGGTATGTAAGTTACTTTAGCTAGGTGGGTAGCTAGCTTGGTCGTGAGATGTTGATAGGCAAACGTAGGCACAGTAGGTCGGTATGGTAATTTCCTTGCCTAACTAGCGACTGACCTAGCGACCAACCACCCAAAGTAGACATAAAAAAAAAATAGCTTTCAAAAATACAATAGGAACATACATTGACAACACTTAAAGACATTAACAGACAACTTTCAGAACATTTAAGAGTAAAGTTAAGAAATGAGAGTAGGTTTTAAAAGTAAAATAATCACAATAATAAATAAATAAACAATTACCTCTGTTTTGTTTTGATTTAGCTAAAGGAAATGTTGGTTCAACCAGTTTTTAATTTTCTCTAGACAGTGATACAAGATGTTAATTGAACGATTGTAATTTGGAGACATTGATAAATATAGCTGTGTCATCTGCATAACTATGATAATCAATATTGGCGTTCTGGAGCATTTGATCCAAAGGTAACATATTCCGACTGTACAAAAGGGGTCCAAGGACTCACCCTGGAGGGACCCAATGGCCATTTGATTACATTGAAAACTTCCAGTGGTCACAAAGTAACTCCTGTCCACCAAGTCAGACTTGAACCAGTTTAGGACTGCTCCATTTAATTGCAAGTTTCCATCCTGTTCAGCAGTATATTATGATCAATTGTATCAAATGCTGCACTGAGATTCGATAAGAAGAGCAGTGACAACAGCCCTGTGTCATTGTTGAATCTTCAATAATTTAGTACTTTAATAAGAGCTGTTTCTGTACTGTAATGAGCTCGGAAACCTGATTTATCACAAGGTAGGTATGGTGAAGAAATACAGTAAGTAAATATAAGGTGGGGAAGGCACTTGGTGTCTCAGACGGTTGGTACACCAATCTTGTTAGGTACGGGGAAGAAAGACAAGATAAGGGAGGGTAGGTAGATACATTGTGCCTCTTATTCTTGCTCTAAGCATAGCAGCAGATGCCTGATCCCCTTGCCGTTTTCCCGCCGGCCGATCAATGCTCCTAATGATGGCGATCAATCAAGAAAATGAAAGATTTACTCCCCGATATTAATTTTGCCGGGCATCGATTGAGGCGTGTGGAGTATTACGGCCATTCACGCCTCTCCAGCTGCCGTATTGAGTCGCTCGTCTGTTCAAAAACAAGCCGTTCATCTTCTCATTTCAACAGTTTCACTGCCGCTTTAAAGATAATTAGAAACAGATACCAATCACCTCGGGTGATGTTTTGTCAACTCTATGAAAATGCTATTTGTGAGTCTTAATTGCATTTGAATCAGTCAAATCCTGAGCAGGAAACCATATTTCAACCCTCCAACATTTGGCTCAGCCAAGCATGGAAACACGGCCCCAAAGTGGTGTTTAATCAGGCCCGATGTGTGCGGATTTAATCACAGCGCTAAGCCGTGACCAGCCGCCGCCTCCGATAACTGGCTGTCGGGTGGCAACGCGAGGATTGCTAACTCAGGGTGGCGCCTCCACAGTCAGTTGCTAAAGACACCATAGTCTGTCTGTCAGTGTCTGCCATGTTCTCCCATTTTCTTGGATGAGGACAAAAAACCCAACGCCTTTAGTGGACGCTGCTGAAACAACAACAGACGGAGGTTCACGAAAGGACTTCAGATCGGAAAGATAGGTATAGTTATATAGATAGGATAGCAAAACTGATATCCAACCAGTCCTAGACGGTCGAAAGAAGCTTCGCTGGGCCAGACGCACATGTATTAAAGTGGAGCAATGCGCCAGTAGGTCGAGGGTCGATGAGCATTGCGCTAGTTAGCAACGAGCTTCGGCTGGCTGTGTGTGTGTGTGTGTGTGTGTGTGTGTGTGTGTGTGTGTGTGTGTGTGTGTGTATATATATATAAAAAAGTGTGTGTGTGTATATATATATATATATATATATATATATATATATATATAGAGCCAGCCGAAGCTCGTTGTATAGAGAGAGAGAGACAGAGAGAGAGAGAGATTTAGCCTTGACTGTAGGTAGGTGCAGTAATTACAATGTAAACGTGGAAATCGTATCCAGTCTGATCAAGGTGCGAGAGAGCAACTAGAAATGAAGCCCTGGAATGATCACTCATGCTTATCTGTCTGCAGTCGTGAGGAGGGAGGGAGAGAGAAGAAGGGGGAAGGCTATAATGAGGTGCACTCACCCATAGTGGAGAGCTTAATAATTCAATGCAGGGGGATCCTATCAGATTACAATAGCGAAAAAGGCTCCAAAGCTCGTACTGCTAAAGACAGAACAGACTCTTTCTCTTTCTCTCTCTCTCTCTCTCTCTCTCGCACACACACACACACACACACACACACACACACACACACACACACACACACACACACACACACAAACACACCTTTCTGCCAATCCTGCGATAGCCAGGTTGCGCCGTTACGCATAATCGCACAAAAAGTGGTCACCCAGGCAAGAAAAGGAATGAGTGACTGTGACAAAACTGCAGTTTCCTCATCCAAAAGATTCAATTTTGATGAAAAACAACCAATTTTACAGTCAAAGCATGAACTCTACTGATTTGGAGTGATGTCCTCACAAGTTGGCACAAGAAGTCTTCGGGAAAGACACTTTATTCTCACAATTTTACACCCCTTGAATGACTCCCATTTTCAGGCAAAAATCTGCACATCTACCTGTAGTTTCAGCACGATTACACCAGCTACCTACCTAACATACTTAGCCACCTTCCAGCCTTTCCACCGACCCTCTAGCTAGCTAGTTCGCTACCTCGCTACTTCCCGACCGACCAAACATCCCACATACCAGTACATACCTACGGACCTATCGATCGCTATAGAACCTACCTTTATCTTCAGTTTGTTCTGTGCTGCAGATAAAAAAGAATGGCTGATCATTCCTGTGCTTCTTCTGGCATTAAATTATGGACCTGGACTGGACTCGATAAGATTTCTAGTTGTTTGTTTGTTTGTTTGTTTTTCTACTTGTGCGAGGAAGAAAACATATTCACCCTCCTCCTTCGCTCCCTGGCTCCCTCCCTCACCCACTTTCCTCCCTATCCCCCAAACTAGCAGTTACAGGCTGTACGGCTGCTAAGTTTTCAAAGTGAACAAAGGCACAAGAAGGATAGAGGAGACCCGGGGATTATTTAAATACGAGGTGCATTAGGAGCCCCGGTGTGCCTCCCATCCCTTAAGTCATCAACAAAACCTGCTCCACTTTCCTTTATTTTGTGTGTGTGTGTGTGTGTGTGTGTGTGTCTGAGAAAGAAAGAAAGGAAGAAAGAAGGAAAGAAAGAAGGAAAGGAGAGGATAGGAATAAAGAGGGTGCGTTTGGTGAAAAAGTATTACGGTGTGTTACGCGAAGGAAGCACAGCCCAAAGCCACTTTATCCTTACCGAGACAGAAAAGAGAGTAGCAATAATCACTCTTGTAGACCAGACATCTGACAGTCACACCCCACAAAACCTTTGTCGAAAGTAGCCAAGGTTTCATGAGTGCGAGGTGTTGAGAAATGAGTGGTTCCTAAGTACAGGAGAAGTTTTTATCCTATTTTTTTATACCTGTTACAAATTGTGGTGGAAGATATTAATGATGTCAAATTATTTGATTACTGATATCTTAACCTACACTGTAGACTATGTGTATTTTCTTAACTACTTGGCATACCTACCAAACTATATTTTCATCCTACTATACCTTTTACGTACCTACTGTACCTTTAGCCACTTAGCTACTCTCTCAGCAAAAAAAGAAAAAAAAAAGTAACTGTCGAGGTCAATTTTTTTTCTCCAAGGTTTACATTTTTGTGATGTACCCTGTAGAATTCACAACAGGATTGACTCTTAGGTACAAATCAGTACTGTATATGACAGGAAAAGGTACACAAATAGTCCAAATGGGCAAAGAGATCATTTCTGTACATTTTTATTTGCATGCAAGGACAGAAAAAAAGGGCTCGGCCAATGTGAATGCCTTTTGAAAGTGTCCACTGTTGTATGGCATGCAGTTTCAAGAAACAGTAAAAGTAGAATTCTAGACCAAGGACGAGAATCATTTTGGCTTTTTGTACACTTTTAATTAACTGACAATGATCCTTGTGAAGAAAAAAAAATGTTGTTCGCGTACGTTTTGTGCTTTTCGACAACTCTTCGGTTCCCAGGATGCATTGTGGCATGCAATCCTATGCTTTTTACGTCATAATCCTTGCCGTTTAAGTGTGTATGTTACCCATTTTTTGTTGCGAATTCGTGTCTTAACTCATTTAATCCAAGTCATCTTCACTGGAGCAAATCCCTCAATCGCCACCGTTTTACTGATGCATGGGCACACAACAAGTTTTACACCGCATTCTGGTTTCACTTCGCTCACCTTTGCGAAGGCAAATCCCCTGCATCCCGCGCCCTTGACTTCTTCTGCAGCATGTTAATGGTTGAACGCTGCCACCTGCTGCCACCTGCTGGACAGATTTGAAATGATTTACATTGCAGACAAACCTGAATCAGAGACTGTGTCAGACCCTTCCGCACACCGTGACGCAAAAAAAAAAAAAAAAAAAAAAAACCTCTAAAATTAAACCTCAAAAGACATAAAAATACATTTTTCAAGACGTATTTATACGTCGTGGGGAATAAAAGAGTTAATACCATGCCTTAAATTTCAGTTGCACATTTTTAACATGAAACTGTGAATGACTGTGTTATAATGTTGGCCAGCCCTGGTCAAGATCGTTGCCTATAAAAGGTACAAATGACATGTACCGTATGGTACATATTTGCCTACAGAGGGTGCAAATCATAACGCTCCCAATATGTACCCCATTTAAAGGCTACAATAGGCATCGACTTGAGTTTACCGCATCAGTGACAAGCCATTGTACCCTTAAAGGTACAAAGTTAGCATGTTATTTCTGACAAAAGGGTGAAAGAAAACCCACAACAATCATGTCAATTACAATGAGGAACGTCAGAGCCAAGATTGCAACCTGATGCAAACATGATACCCACTCCTCCACCATGCTGCTCGAGCTACCTCGTATTTTCTACAAAATCTGATCGTGAATACACATAACGTGGCGCCCCCAGAACGGAGAGTTATTTTTTTTATATAAATGTATTTGCTTCAAAGGGCACATCGGTTTTATTGCGTTTGGGCTCAGTTACAGCTCTGTCTTTGTTTAAAATGGCTCCACCTGCAGCGGCATATTTGTTTTATTTGCGCTTCTCAGCCCGAGACAGGGGCAGAAGCTTGTTTGGGTCCTCAAGGGCAAAGGAGTTACTGTCGACTACGACGCAGCCTCCCGCTGGCAGGGGTGTCACATTTACTCTTGTAAAAAGGAATAAAAGCACCCTTCTCCACTCCGACACCCTTGTTGCACGCGGACCTTTTGCTCTGCTCCTCCAGCAGCCTGCTGGCATTTTTTTTTTTAATTTATATACATCCCCTCCCTAAAACTCATTTTCTGGCAGGAATTTTCTGACACGGAACAAAGCTGAGGTCGACTCTGTCTGAGACCTCTGCCACCGACTGTCTGCAGATGAATTGGAAGCAAGCACGAGTTTCTTTTTCTCAACGCGGGACGTGCGGGAACAGACGAGAAGGACCTTGGAAAATAGGGGGGAGGGGGGGTTGGGAAGGCTGGCTCCTTAATGGAGAACTTGGCACGGGTCCATGGTTTCTCCGCAGGCACGCAACACCTCCGGGGTTGATAGTCACCTCTAACCCGAGAGGAGACATGTCCAACTGTTCACATTAACCGTCACAGGCTGGCAGGACCACCGCGGTCAGGCAGGGGGGTTCTACTTTGAGCATTCGCTGGTGGGAAATGTCAAAACATGGACAGAATGGAATAAACCCTTAAGAGGGATAAATGGAGGGGTTGAATGATAACCGTATCTTAAGGCAGGGATGGGCAACTGGCGGCTTGCGACCACACTGTGAGCAGCCCACAGTTTGACCTGCGCCAGACCACCTTGCAAACGCACCCACTTACTCCACTTGCAAAGCTAGAAATGTGATATGAGTACTGTAAAGCAAGATCTCCAGATCTCCAGTGCAGCAAGCCAAACTTTATTGGATCAATAGCGTCAATAAGCACTTGCTTGGCACATGCGTTGATATGCTGACAAGCCGCCGAATGGCTTGTTTGTCAAAAGGCTTTGTGTCCAATCGATGCGCTTGTCCAAGTTCAATGACCTTATGTTCAGCTGGCCGTCGTTGCCGCACTTAATGATGCGTTGCAACATGTTTGCCGTTAGAGACGCCGAAATATGCTTCCGGCCTGTCAGCACTCCAAGACTTTGACACAGTTGTCTGCTCTAGGCTGATTCAATCAAGCAATATGACGGCTAATTGGATGGAAACACATACAGACAGCACTCCGATATGACCGAGGATGAAAAAGTCTGAAGAACCCATGCACGAAATTGAAGTGTAATTTGCCCATTTTGGGCTGGTACTTTGACAAACTCCTTCGAGGCAAATCTCACAAATGAGTTGAATTAGTGACACTAAATTTGTGATGTTTTTATGTTTCTTCTTTTTTGCATATATGCCATCTCATATGGGTGGAATATTATGTTGATGTTTGATGATCATATTGAGGATTCCCTGTGGAAAAAAAAGAGGTAAACGAGGGCCTGTTCATTGTTGGTTATTTGCTTTCATTAACTTGCTTTGTTATCTATCTATCTATCTATCTATCTGTGATAGATAGATAGATAGATAGATAGATAGATAGATAGATAGATAGATACACACACACACACACACACACACACACACGCACACATATATGTTTTGGGTTTTTGTTTTTTTTTTGTAACAACTAACACCTTACTTAGATAACCTAACTGTTACTTTTGTAATGATATGAGCAAATCGTATTTGCTTGCTCGACTAGCGATGCCTGCCCGCAGCGCACAGAGCACACACGGAGCAAGTGCAGCCGTTCGGCAGTCGTACAAATGGTGATTGCATTCCCCCTCCGACCACAACGGTAGTCCAAATAAAGAACCTCTACTCTTTCCAAAAGTTGTATTATTAAACAAACCCGCTCGCACAAAGCGACCCAACTTTGCAGAGTCACAGTTCTGTTCATTACTGTAAAGTAGTTAATGACAGCAATCAGCTCACTGGAAGCTAACTGCCACTTACCATTCGATAGAAGCGGTTGTGCCATCCACAGCATGAACGAATAATAAAATCCAAGTGGCGACCCCATTCCCAGATGAAGACACAGCCAAGAACGGTAAATTATACAAAGCTTGAGAAATGGGAACTTCGGTGTTTACAGCCCGAAGTGAACAGTTCCTGCATTCGCATCCGGGGGAGTGACGTCACATTGCGAGCACATGAAAAATCACAATGGAGGAAGCACGGAGATTTTCAAGTTGGAAATTCGGTCACTAGTTTTGATTTTAGTGCCAGCTAAAGAAAATATGAAGGTACGTTACACGTTCTGCGCTGCTGACAAAGTGTTATCTTGCTCCAAAAACCCTACCAGTATGTCAAATAAAAAATATAGACAACTAAATATTGTTCGATGTGTGTCTCGTCGAAAGGAAAATCACATAAGCACAGACCCAAGACTTCCACGGTTCCCCCCTTCAATCACGTCCACAGGCTCAGTGTTCCTCACAGGAGATGATTTAAAGCATGTCTGCCGCTTTATCAGGACGCTCTTGGGCCTCGGCGCTACCGAGCTTACAAACGTTCGTTCCCGCAAGGTCAAAACGTGACAAGGTGCAACCCCCTCCCCCCCAGGGTATTGCTCACTTCCAAGCTCACGTCTCCACTCTAACCTCTGTCTGAACCAGCGGTGCATTTAAAAGCACGTTATTTACTACAGCCCGCCTTTTATTTACCTGTAATTTCTTTTAAGTGCAGCATAAATTTCTCCCATGAAGTCGCTCATACATGGAGTCCCCCCCCCCCACAACACACATAACGGTAGTCTTGACTTTGGCCCGCTGCCTGGGTCGCTATATTACTCAGCCATTTTAATCATGTCCTGTTATTTCAACCTCATTATTCTTGTCATGTCTGCTAAAATCTTGCTTAACATGGAAAGGGTCAGCGGTGATGCCAGTAATGATTGTAATGAATTGAAGTCGATCGGGCCGGTGACGACGGTACAAAGTAAAGGAGGGAGCCAGTCGCAGGGTAACGGAATAATACACGCTGACTGGTTGGAAATGACAGGAGATTAATTTACAAGAAGCAAAATATAAACATATAATAAGTATACGCGGAAAAGAGGTCTGGTCACACCAATTATTTCCCTCCAAAATTTCCGCCTTCATTTCCACCTTTATTCAACTTTCATTGAGAAAAACTAGACTTATTTTTTTTCATCCATCCATCCATTTTCTTATCCGCTTATCCTCACAAGGGTCGCGGAGGGTGCTGGACCCTATCCCAGCCATCTTCGGGTAGTAGGCGGGGGACACCCTGAACCGGTTGCCAGCCAATCGCAGGGCACACAGAGACAAATAACCATTCATGCTCACCCTCACACCTAGGGACAATATAGAGTGCTCCATTAACCTGCCATGCATGTTTTTGGAATGTCGGAGGAAACCAGAGTACCCGCAGAAAACCCACTCAGACACGGGGAGAGTATGCAAACTCCACACAGGAAGGTCGGAGCCGGGATCAAACCCACGACCTCTGCACTGTGAGGTCGACGCGCTAACCACTGGATCACCGGGCCACCTTTTTTTTTTCCAAAAATATAAAATGTTTCCAAAAATCACAAAATAATGCAGCAAAACATACCAACATGCTATTTTAACATGACAATTAAATCTCAACATTAAATGACTTTGAGGTTGGAATTATTTTCATTTTAGTGGTTTTACAAACGTAGCCATGTCCCCCTCGTCCTCATCATCAGAATGCGAATGGTACTGACTACTGGACGTGACACAAACACAGGTCCATTCTATCCACAATAATTGATGATGTGCTCTGAGGGTTTAGGCATCCAATCTCCAGCACGTTTCCACTGTCGTGTCCCATGTTTGGTGCCGTCATCACTCTTCATCAAAGCATCGCACTCCATCCCACACTCCTGCCGTCTCCGGAGTGGCCATTTATCGCGCCGATAATCGATGATGACAGCTGGCGTGCAAGCGAGAGGCAGGCGGAACGTGATTAATCACGTTGTTTCATTAATTAGAGAACATTATGCATTGGAGGCGCCAATTCCGTAGCAGGTGCCCGTATGACCATGTTATGAGATGAGGATTTACTTTTTCTTTGGCTTTTTTTATTTAGTCACCAAACCCAGAAAAAAAAAACTTTAACAAGAATATTTATGAAGACACAAAAAAATATGGCCCCCTCACCATTGCTGTGCTATAAACCAGTACAATCTGGATCCCTTTCCTATAAAAAGTCAACAAGGTATAATCGCCAAACCTCTCCTGTAAAAACACTTTGATTTGTGCCACTTCCTCTTTTACTAGTTTGGACTGTACCTCTTGTTGAATTTCTACGACAGTTGAAAATGTTAAAATGTGACATAAAAGCATGAAAAAAACAATCCTCTGCCATTTCAATTACATGGTACACTTCCACTTTCCTGTAAAAAATAAAAATTAAATTTGGTTTTACTTAGCACTTTTTTTCCGATACTCTCAACTCTTCAGTTGTCACTGAAACCAGTGTTGATTCCCGATACCACTGATACTTTTGATGCATAAAATTTAATCTGTAAATCTGTTCGCCATGTATCCCGTTAGTTCCCAAATCTAAATAAAAAAAAAAAGAAAAAGAAGATAAAAGACTCTCGTGAGTATTGATACCTTGATATAGGGCCCGGTATCGTCCCAATACCGATACCTGGTATCGATACTCACCCATCCTTAGTTTCACCCATTTCCCGTTTACCAATTTGACCCTGACACTGTACAAGTGGCTCACTTCCTTTTTCACGTATACGACAAATAAGAATGTCAAAACATATAAAAATGACTGGAAGGGTGGGGGAAAAAACTGCAAATAACATGAAATAATCTCAGACCCCCAAATCCCTATAGAAAACATTTGGTTGATCCCACATCCTGCTTACCTGTTTCACTCAAAGCCTTTTCAAACACATAACTTGTGTTTGTGCTAAACCACATCTTTAAATTAAATATTGTAGATATGTACTGTTTAACTTGCTTAGGCCTGGTGGTAAAACACAGCATTAATTGTTTTGTATAGAGCAAAAGAATCACCGTCACGTACTGTACAACGCTAACGTCTTTTTTAACTTGTAACTCCTGACAAGTAAAATCATTCATTTTTTACAAGTCTGAGTGTAAATTATAACAAAGGCCTTTCTCTGGCCCGCCTGAAATGAATACCGTTCCCTTTGAAACGGCCCTGTCACATCAAACCAGGCAGCCATTCCAATCCACTGGAACGTTTAATTGAATCAGAAAGAAATGTGTGAAGGTTAAGACTGTTCTCTCTACGTTTTTGTCACTTTAAATACTTTGAAGCCAAATGGAGGTTTTGTCCTGAGTGACGGGGGGGTCAGCCAAGTCGGGCCTCGGCGGTTTTGTCAATGGAGCTTGTCTCGCAACAATCCATCGCCGTAAAACACGTTCTCGTTGGACTCGACATCAAGTCGATGAAAGCGAATCGGACAGCCGCCGTCAATGTGGAGTGAACGGCTCCACTAACTTGTATGTGCTCTGCTGCCCATCCAACTTGCTCGTGATAAATTACCCCGTAGTGTCACTGCAATATACAATGACACTCTGTTGCTAATCAAAACAGATGCATAAAAAATCTTGTCCACGTCCTAAATGGATGAAATGCAGCAGGAGTGGAGATGCTAACATTGTCACAAACGTGCGGGAGGGGGCGTCGTGTGGGGGAACAGATGAACTGTTCAATATATTTAGCACCTAACCAGCTAATCGGAAGCTAGCGCCAGATGCTCATACCGCAGTCTAGTAAGTAAAAACACAATTTAAGAGAATGTAAAGAATTAATCATGATTTCAGGCTTCAATTCGATTCATTGTGCTGCTCCTTTTGGTGTTCCTGCCTTGGCCTCTGGGGGGCAGTGTAATGCGGTCATGCAGACACAAACGAAAAAGGTTACTTTTACGACGACTGTGACTCGGTAAGCTGCCAGTTTTTTGGGGACAAGAGTTTCATGACGATCAAATCCAGTTTCGTCAATATAAATCTAGACACATAAAAGAGAATGTGAAGAAATAAACCGATTGCACAACATGTAATTGAGCCAAAAGTCGCACACACGCTGTTGTACATTTTCATGCTGAATTGAGCCTTTGCTCACAAGTGACCTCAGGATGGCAGCTAACCAGTCATAGCAATAGCATAGCAATCTTCGTTTTTAGTCTGTGCTCCTACTTTTCAAACAGCTAAAAAGAAGAAAAAATGGCGAATACACGACACCTGTCCAAATCAAATCAAAGTTGTCGAGCGAGTGTGAATCTCTTCTCCGGTGAACGCTGGAGACTGCTGATCTGACCACATCGACTCCTATTCATCTGCGTGTGTCACCGAAGGCCGATACTTTGTAGCGCGGCGCTGATCGATGGACTCACAATGGCACGCTGAGACTCCTCGACGCCGGAGAAAAGTGCAAAGTCAGCTCGATTGATCGTGACTTTTGAGGTGGGCGGAGAGAAAGTGACGAGTGGGGAGAACTTAGTTCGTGACAGTTTTCCGTTGTCGGGTCAGAGCCACGCTCAGGGCTGGCGGTATTGTAAGAGCAAGTTGAGGTTAAAAGGATTGGGTGGGATTGACTCGCTGTCCTGCATTTGTCCTCATAGTGACTCAGCAGGGCACGACCAATGGACTCTTTTGGACTGTGGATTATTTCATTTGGTTTCTATTGTGTAAAGTGGTGGCTGTTATCATGAATAACAATACAGTACGATATAACTTTATTTCCCATTTCACAACAGCTGCAGCTGTAACAATGCACTTAACATATAACATAAAATGACAATCAAACACCAACAAAAGAAAGTGGAAAAGGTCAATTAAATGATACAAACAAATATACAGTCGACACCAGAAAACAAGAGAACATTGTCGCAGGTTGGGCCGAAAGCCAAGAAAATTCAGGAACGGCAATTTTAACATGAGCATTCATCCATCCATCCATTTTCAATACCGCTTCTCCTGAACAGTTCGCGGGAGGGTGCTGAAGCCTATTCCAGGTGACTTTGAACAAAAGGTAGGCTACACCCTGAACTGGTCGCCGGAAACACATCCACATTCACACTGCCACTGCACACAAGGCAGGCGAGTGTACCACTCCGCCATCAGCAACCAGTTTTAACATTAGCAAAACATCAAATCTCTTGTTGAAATGCCCCACTAGAAATTTTATCGACGATTCTTGCCCTGAAATTTTGAGTTCATCCGAACATTTTCCACATTTGTTGCAATAATTCATCATCGCTTTTGAACCAAAAAAGCAAAATGTAAAAAAAAAAAAAAAAAAAAAAACAGACTGTCACCGGTTGTGCTTG